ACAGTTGTTAAGTGAATCATTGCAATTGTTAAGTTAGCAGCACAGTTGTTAAGTGAATGCAGCATCCCCACTGATTCTGTTTGTTGAAAGGATGCAGAAAGGAATCACATGACCTCAGGACACTGTAACCGTCATAAATATGAGTCCATTGCCAAGTGGCTGAATTTTGACCAGATAGCCATGGGGATGCTGCAATGGTTCTAAGGGTGAAAAATAGTCTTTTCAAGGCTGATGAAACTTTGAACGGTCACTAAATGAATGACTGTAAGTCGTGGACTAACTGTACTGAAGGAGAAAGGTGGGGGGGTTGTACTTGCAGCAAACCTAACGCTGCTCAGAATAAAAACATTCTAAACACAAATTGGCAACTTGGACGTATGAATGAAATAATTCTTTTTTTTTTAAAGAAAACTTTTTATTTTTTACATACCATTGTAAGTATACATTCAGATAATTGTTATTCTTCTTTACATTTGTCATTCTTATACATTTGTTATTCCATTTAATAGGTTATAATATACAGTTTGGGTTGCTTTATTTACCATCCCTTACGCCTGTTGTAACACCACCTTATTTTTCCTTTCTTTTCTCCCTCCCTCCTCTACTTTCTTCCTTCCTCCCCTCCTTCCCATTCCTTCTTTCCTTACCTCTCCCCTACTCCTACTCTTCCTCTTCCCCGTCCTACCCTCTCTCCTTCTCTTTCTTTCCCTTCCGCCCTCCTCTCGTTACCTCTTTCTTCTTTCCCTCCTCTTCCTCTCATTCTTTCCTCCTCTCTCCCTTTCTTTTTCTACTGTCATAGGTGTCTCTTTCAAATCTAAGTTTATGTTTTCTTGGGATGGTATTTCCACAAACCTGAATATAATTTAGTATCATTTCTTATTCCCTTACCTTCACTAATCTATCCTAACTGTGTTTTTTTTTCTTTCCCCTTTATATCTCACTCTTGAATATATACTTGTATTTTTAATATTTTTACATGTGAGTCTTCTATTGGTGAGACAAGAGTGCACATTCCTCCAATCCTCTGTTGTCCGTGATCTTAATTCAGTTGCTTGCCTGCCTCGAAATGTCACATTTTAGAACATACAGACATAGTAATAATTACCTTCATTTAACACATTGACTATGTGTTTTTTGTTCTTACTGGGGTTTTTTTCCCCTCCTTTAATTATGAAAGCTGCCCGGGGTCATTTTTCAGTCCAGCAGCTTTCTAAATAAAATGATATGTAAAAATGATAATGCAAAAATATGTTGCATTAATATTAATTTACGATAACACAGCTTTAAAAGTACAAGTTCCATCTCTGAATAGATGACTTAAAAAGACCAATGGAATGGAGCGAGTCAGTTTGGTATAGTGGTTAAGGCACCAGGCAGAAAAGTAGGGAATTCTGAGTTCTAGTCCTGCCTTGGACACAAAGCCAGCTGGATACCTTGTTCTCGTCACTCTCTCAGCCTTAGAAAATAGGCTGTGTTGTACCACTTTTGAAATCTTGCCAAGAAAATTACAGAGACTAGTTTAGGCAGTCACTAGGAGTCAACCCTGATTCACCCACCCACCCCCCGCAAAAAAAAGACTAGGTATGGCAATTGGAACTGCCATATCTGGTTCTAGGAAGGTGGATGATTATGAAATGGCAACAAAGATACATAAGTTCTTTGCTGCCACTAGTGGTCATCCAAATTATAGCAATTGTAAGAAAAGGGCTGTTCTAGTTAGAGAATAAAGGTGGGAAAATAATCATGCAGATCTGTAGCTATTTTCTTTTGGAGTAAGCTGTTTATAATTCACTTCAGTTTTTCCCCATTTAATTCACTTTTCTCCTCTTTACCTTAAATAATAAAAAATACCAAAATTTGGATAAATACCAATTTTGCAGTTTAATTTTCAGGTAGGAAACCAAAGAACACAGCCCTGGGATTGTGTAGTTCTCGGAGCATTCATGCTGAATTAGCCATGAGACAAGCCAAAAGTACATCGGGTAACTTTCCAAGCCATGGGACCTCATAGATCATCCTTGCTGAATAATGTAAGTTTATTTCATCCATGTTAATGATTTTCAGCAGCTCTCCTCCAACAACTCAGAATGGTTTGCCAGGTTGTTAATTACCTTATCTGCTTTATGTCTCTATGCCTCCAAATAATTCAACATAGTGATCACGATTCTTCCATTTATACTTATAACAGTCTAATGGGAAGATTACACTAAAGAGATCCTGATTGACTTCACATTACTCAGGAAGTTTTCTGAGAAAGCAGGACATTGACACTCAATATATCTTCTTTTGGTCTAATATTTTAGCTACTACAGGTAATCCTCGGGTTACATTTGGACTGGAATTTCCATTTTGTTTTTTATTTATTTTTGTTTCTGGAAGGAGATATTGTTAGGGGAAAGCAAGAACGTCACTCAGAGATGATCCCAATATGGATTCTCCTGATGAGAATAGAAGTTGTTAAAAATAAAGAAATTGGCAAGAAGGACAGATGATAGCTTGATAGAAATTATAGATGCCTTGATCCTCAGATAGTCTTCACTTAAGGACCAATCATTTTAACAACAGTTCAAAGTTATGACAGACTCAAAAAGTTACTTACGATCACCCTTGAAGTTATGACTGCTGCACACACATCCCTGTGGTCACATGATTCCATTTTGAGCACCTGGCAACCAGTTTGCATTTACAATAGGTTGCAGTGTCCCATGGTCATACAACCATGATTTGTGACTTTTTTGCCAGTTTCTGGCAATTTTCCCCCCATTTCCCCCGTTTGGGAGAATGGATTTACTTAACAACCACTTGATTCGCTTAACAACTGTGGTGACTTGCTTTACAGACATCACAAAAATAGTAGCAAAACTTAGTCAGGTCATGTGATGGACCATGTAACAATGATTTACAACCCAAATTCCAGGCCCAATTGTGGTTGTTAAGTGAGGATTACTTGTAACTAATTATTGCTTGGAAGAACAGATTGCCTGGCAAATTTAATTCTTTTTGTAATATCCTAACGTACTTTCTTTTTCCCTCTGTCCAGTTACTTTCTTCTCTGCTTATTTCCTGTCAGCAAGGATCTCACATTTTTCTTTCCCTCCTAATAGTTTCCCCTTCTGCTCATCCCATCTCCACCTAATTTTCTTCTTTCCTGCTGCTGCTAGAAGGAGGAACAGAAAGGTTTGTGAGTTTCTGCAGGGGTAGTTGGTGTGTAATGTAAGAGAAAAATGGTTAATTTATAGAGTGGGAGCACAAACCTGAATCCTTTTTATAAGCAGTTAATTCTAATCAGTAATTAAGTCAACAAATTTTTTTCCTCTGCTTTTTTTAATGAAGAGTAGATTATGAAAAGTACATACATATACAGACACATATACAGAACATTTATTGGGGAGGAAACTAATTTCGAACGGAATTGGCAACCCTTGATTAAGGAGGTGGGAAACTGACAATTGTCCCAAATGTGCTTTTTCAAGAGGCAACTGGACTTCCTTCATTTCTCCTTGAGGACATTTCACTTCTCATCCAAGAAGCTTCGTGGATGAGAAGCGAAACATCTTCAATGAAAAACAAAGAAAGTCCAGGTGCCTCTTGAAAAAAGCACCTTTGGGGGGAACCATCATCTGGATGATTGAGAATCTCCATTGACATGGAACTGACCATTGCACAGAATTTTGGTTTCTTGATACTTTATAAAATCACTCATCGGAGGCTTTGGCTAGGCCCAGTGACCTCACCAACTGCTCAATTTTCCATCTAGTGCCAGTGGCTGATTTACTTTTGGAGAAAGAAGCTGCTTTCTTTAGTTTAACAACTGTCCCTTCGAAATTCTTTTTACATAAAAACTGTTCTTAATTCATGTTTTCCTACTACTTTCTTTCAAATCTGAAAAACAGTTTAAATTATTATAGGAACAAATGAACCATAGTCCTGACATCGGTATAAAAAGATTACTTTTATCAGCTTTCCTACTTTTTCACCTATTTTGCTGACTTGGACCAAAACAAATGAATTATCAGTTCCTTCAGGTTGATTACATAAAGTTATTTTAGTTTTTATTCAGAACATAATATATCATCTTGAATCAAACATGGCAGTAGATTTCCTCATTTTTTAAATGCAAAACACTTGCCAAACAACTGCTTCCCAAGAGTTAACTGCAAAAATTGAAGCTTTTCCAGTTTATACACGAGCTGAACAGCTGGGAGATGAGGGATTCTATCTTTATTCACAGCTTGGTGTAGCCAATATGGACATAAAAAAACAGCCAGTGATCTTTGTCAACTTAACTGCCCTAAATCTGAGTTGGAAAAATATATGGATTTCCTCATAATTTTGCTTTTTAAAAATAAAAACAGTTTTAGAATAGCTTTGAATAGGCTTACTCTGGAACGGTAACATTTTAAGTTGCTAAGATTGCTCAGAATATAACAGTAAAGTCTTGTCAGTATTCTAAAAACATTTATTAGGAGATAAGCTGTTATAGGATAGAATCCCCACCAATCAGATTCAAATGTTTTTTATATTTTGTCTAATCTTACTATTTGCTGTCTGTCTCTATAATTCAAGGTAATATTTGGAGCAGCTGATGAAATCTATTCTACAAAAGCTTATGTCACCACAAATTTTGTCTTTACAGTGCCACAATACATTTTCATTTTGCTGCAGTGAAAGGACAGTGAACTTGTTCCTCTGGAAACTACTGGAGACAATTTTGAGTGCCAGACTGAGGAATGTTGGTATACATAAAAACGTAACACCTGATACTTGTGTGCATTTGAATTTCCATCCAACTATATTGTAAATCAGTTTTATTTATTAATGGAAAGAAAAAAGACCACTACAAACCATCATTTTCCAGATGTAATATGCTGTTGCTAATAGAAATATTCTCATTATTTCATTATATTTCATTATATTAGCAGAGTGCTTTCTTTCTCATGTCACCATATGCCAGGATCCCCTGTATTATGTAGCTTAGGGTAGAAACACATTCTGTTATGTGTTAAGCAGGAAAACAAGAGATCCAAAATTATGAAGTTATATGTTACAGAAGGCTGATTGAATGATTTAAAAAAAAAATATTTTTGGCTTTTGAGAAATAGTAATTGTAAAGAAAAATATAATACCCCCATCAATTTCTATAATATGTGCAATTAAGAAGAGTTGGAAAATGTCCATGAACCATATGTTGGAATCTCATCTGTGGATTAAAGCATGATTTCTAAACAGAAGGCTCGTATGAAATGATTACTATAAAACAGTAACATCTCTGGACACAATGCCTCAAATGAATCATGTCCGGCATTTCACAAAAAGAAAAATATGTTAAAAATTTTTTAGAGAACATGAAGAAAGAGCTTACATGTCTACCACAGGATGGAGCCTGTCAGAAAAGTATAGTAAAACAATCTGGCAAAGGGTACATTGCCATACTAGAAATGATTCTATGAGTGGGTTTACACAACATAAACCCCTAACTCTGTTTGACAAAAAGTTTGGAATTTTCGCAAATCATTGAGTTCACACAATAGGCTGAGCTAAAAAAAATGCCCAAGTTTCATTTTATCCTGGTTTAACATGTTCCTGTTGCATCTGAGTAAGAAGAAAAGGTATGAGGTAGAGAAAGGTTTGAATATAAACTGTTTTCCAATGGTTGGGGGGGTTGTCAAGGAGAAGTTACAGCTGTGACCATCTTTACAATTGATCTTAGGCAAAAGAATTGATGGAACGGATCCCTATATCCCTATATCAGGGACTCCAATATAAGGAAACATTTGGCAACTGTAGGCAGAGAAAGAACTAATTTGCCCGTCTTCTCGTGACTTATTGCTCTTGTCAATTCTTGTAGGTTATATATATATTAAATGGGGGGGGGTCTCAAATTGAGTACATCATGTTGGTTATTTATTTACTAGTGTTCAAGGGTGGTGCGAGTAAAGCTCATCAATGCTGACATCTGCCTGAAGGCCCTCAGGGCAAGCAGATTCTCCCTGTGAGCCTCCAGTTTAATATGCCACATGACTGGGATTGTATGCCAGATCTTGGGATCTTCTAGGAAATTAAAATGATTGCTCTTAGGAACCTCTGGGTGGTTGATACTGTGTCTCCCCCTGCCACCACCTTCCCCGGGGTCAGGGAGTTCATTCTATCCAAAGCCCCCTCAGAACTAGGTATGTTTACAAACGTGTATGTAGTGACATGCTTATTCTTAAAATGTAGTTTATTTAATGCCTTGAAATTAAACTTAAAACAGTCATGAACATACTTCATTACAAATGTATACCCATATTATTCTTAAAATGATTACAATAAAATACAACACTTGTTAAAAATGAAAAGGAAGTGAACTGTCGCTGACCCGTTTTTAAAATCTGGCAGCTCCCAAGAACATAGAGTAGTGTTATGTATCTTATCCAAGGTTTCATTAACCCTGACCAGGAATATGACCGCTTGATGCCACCAGCCTTTTTTACTGAAGCGTAGCAAGTACATACACCTTTACATAAGTTTTGCATTCAGTACCTCAGATCCTAGAAGGATATTGGGAGGGCAGATGGTCAGCCCATAAGTTGAATAAATTAAAATTACCTCTCACTAATAGCAAGTTATATCACTGACCAACTAGTCAGAATGAATGTTTGTGATAAGCAGATTCATAAGGCAAAATCAGGGTAGATCTTCTATTGTTTTTAAGTGAATGAAATAGAATTAACCTGCCTAGGTTTATTGGTTTAGGTTTATTGGACTTATATGCCGCCCTTCTCCCNAAAAAGTGTACGGACAGTTTTGGCTAGAATCAGAGACAAGGGCCTCTGCCTTAAAAAAGAAAAATGTAAAATCAATGTACCAAAAGTCGAATTTCTAGGGTACATGATCGATGGGTCTGGAATTCACCCGACCTCACAAAAAATTAAAGCCATTAAGGAAGCCCCCACACCTCGCAATCAGACCAAACTACAGGCGTTCCTCGGGCTCCTTAACTTCTACAGCGTCTTTCTCAAACAGAAAGCAACAGTTGCTGAACCATTACATCAGCTCTTAGCCAAGAACGCGAAGTGGTCCTGGGGCAAAACTGAGGCCTCTGCATTCGCCGCCGTAAAAAGACTCTTATCAGCAGACTCGTTCCTAGTTCAATACAGCCAGACCCTGCCTTTGGTGTTAACCTGTGACGCTTCTTCTTTCGGTGTTGGCGCAGTCCTTAGTCACCGCATGCCAAATGGTGCTGAAGCCCCCATTGCATTTTACTCCAGGACATTATCCGCCGCTGAGTGGAACTACAGCCAACTGGACCACGAGGCTTTGGCTGCAGTAGCCGGAGTAAAAAGATTCCACGAGTATCTCTATGGCCGGAATTTCGAACTGATTACAGACCACAAGCTGTTGCTAGGGTCGCTGGATGGTGACCACCCCACCGCAGTCTCACTATCTCCACGAATGACCAAATGGACAATATTCTTGGCAGCCTATTCCTACCGCCTCATCCACCGACCAGGCACCACGTTAGGACATGCAGATGCCTTGAGCTGTTGCCCAGTGCCCGAAGTTCTCACTGACCCCACCCCTGAGACAGTGGTCCTCCTCATTGACTGCCTGGAAACCGGACCCGTTTCTTCCAGTGACATTGCACGCCACTCCACAAAGGACCCCATGATAAAGCAAATTTTGAACTGGGTGTGGAGGGGGTGGCCCAAGGGGCCTGTTGGGGCTGCATTCAAAATGTATTTTTCCAAGCGGGATTAATTGTTGGTTATTAACAGTTGTTTGTTGTGGGGGGACAGGGTAGTCATTCCCGGAAAATTGTGTATAGCAGTCCTAGAAGCACTGCACGTAGGGCACCTGGGGATGGTTAAAATGAAGTCTCTAGTAAGGAGTTATGTTTGGTGCCTAACATGGACAGGGACATACAAGAATGGGTAGCCACATGCACAACCTGTCAGGAGTCCAGACCAGCTGCCCCGGAAGTGGCCGCCAAGGAATGGGAGCGCCCACAAGCACCATGGTCCAGAATACACATTGATTTCGCTGGACCAGTCCATGGCCAAACCTTCTTCATAGTCATGGACGCATTTTCTAAATGGTTAGAAGTAGTCCTGAGGAGTTCCACTACAGCAGAATCTGTCATCAAGGTACTATAGAAACTATTCACCACGCATGGTTTCCCCGATGTATTAGTCTCCTACAACGGGCCCCAATTCACTGCCATGACATTTGAAACATTCTTAGCAGCTCAGGGAATCAGACATGCTCTGGTCGCCCCGTTCCATTCGGCCTCCAATGGCCAGGCAGAATGGATGGTAAGATCCGCAAAGGAAGCCCTCAATAGGATGGGCCTAGGCGATTGGCAGACACAAATTGATCATTACTTACTCATACAACACATCACAACCAGTGCTGCCACTGGGAGAAGCCTAGCTGAACTCCTCATGGGCCGGCGCCTTAGGTTTCACCTAGACCGGCTACACCCAAATTATTCCACCTCAACACCCCCTGACTCCACTAGCAGGGTCAGGTCCTTCAACATAGGAGATTCAGTATATGCACACAATTACACCGGGGGAACATTATGGATTCCCGCAACTATAATTGGTATTACCGGTCCTCAGTCGTACACAGTAAAACTTGAGGACGGTAAAAACTGGAGAAGGCATATTGACCAACTCCGTAGCTGCCTGTCTAACTCAACGCTTAGACAGTCAAACATAATTCCTGCACAAACCGAAAGAAGCTACACACAAAATAACAGTCCTGAGGAAAACCCGAGAATGTCGGATGACTTATCTGACTTTGATGCAGGCCCACAGCGAGCTCTTAGCGATTCAACACCAGAAACTCCAGCCGCGGCCTGTGAAAAGTTCCAGGAGGTTCCACCAGGTGGATCTGCAGGAGCAACAGGTCCGTCCGACTTGCGCGAAGGAAACACCAGGACTGAACTGCGCAGGTCAGGCAGAATTATGCAAAAGCCCGCCTACCTGCGTGACTACGTCACCAGTTAGATTGTTCCATCCTAGAGGGGATGGGTGTTAGATATNGACTTATATGCCGCCCTTCTCCCAAAGGACTCAGGGTGGCATACAACATAAAAACACATATTACAAAAGTTAAAAGAAAGATTAAATAGAATATCAAATATTCTATTTAATATATAATTTAATAAAATATAGTCCAATTCTGAATGATTTCAAAGTTTTTATTAAAAATGGTAGATCAGACTTTCAATGACAGATTTAGACATGGTTGACAACGAACAGCATAATCCAGTATCTGTATTTCCTTGTACACCTGGTCAAAAATAATGGTTTATTGGCAATGAATAGTCTGGGAGGAGACAGGTGGCTATTTAAACTTGTATATATTCTAGAGTACAAATTTACTCTGATTAATGTATTAGTGGAAAAATCATTTGTGCTATCAGGAAGCTGTTTTAAATATTGTAGTATTATGGACATGGAGACTTTTTTTCTCTTCTGTTTTAAATGATTTAATGTGTATTCAATGTTTAAAATCTAAGGAATTTACCAAAGTAATACACAACCAGTACAGCAACAACAGTACAGCAGTGACAGCAGCAGAAGGTCTTAAATGTATTGTCTGTATTACAAAATTTCCCCTGACTGCCAAGAACATTTTCCAAGTGAGGAACCATCACGAAAAGTCTCTCATTGGCTGCCATTGTCTCTCAATTCACATGGCTTTCTACACAAATCTTTAAATTCTGGAAAAAGTCATAATCATATGCTTCCAATGTGTGTCTTGTATCCGGAGAGACAGTTTGAAAAGATCAGGGGTGACCAGACCCTTACAGAAATAACCATCTTAGCTTTCTTCTTGAGCTGGCTGCAGGCTGCCATTTTCTCTTTAATCACTTATCCTTTGGAAGCTCTAGCTTGCTTTTAAGCTTTGTGTAATCCCTTGTGATAATTTTCTTTTACAATAAGAGGCATTTTCCTTATCTTACAACAGATCTGCTCTACAAATCTCTTCATTGAAGAGAATTGGCTGCCTCCTCTTTTATTTGGGATGATTTACAAATACATTTTTGCTCTTTGGAATGCATGGATGAGTCTGTCTGAGTCTGTGTCTGTACATAATACATACAGATGTGTGTGTGTGTGTGTGCGTGTGTAAGATGTCATAGACATCTACATCACGTTTTGTTAAAAGATGTCATAGACATCTACATCACAGGAACCAAAAGCTTTAGGTTTCTCTTAAAAAACATCTTGCTATTATGAGACTCATTTAATGACCAAAAACAGCACTGAAAAAAACTGACTTACAGTGATCCTCACACTTATGACAGCACCCCTATGGTGACATGATCAAAATTCAGGCACTTTGTAACATTACAGCATCCAAAACCATGTGATCACCACTTGTGATTCACTTAACAACATTGGTTTTAAAAAGGTCATAAAATCAGGCACAATTCGCTCACCCACCTTGCTTAGCAGCAGAAATTCTGGTCCCGGTTTTGGTGGTAAGACTACCCTGTACTGAGACGATAAAAAGGGCTATTTCAGTTCTGATTGACGGAGAAAAAAGAAACATAAAACACCACCCTGTCTTTTTATTGTGTGTAATATTTGTTTTAAAAGTGCCTTCTTGTGTTCAAAATAAAAAAATCAAAATGCAAGTTTTATCAAAATATCAAGATTATGAGAGTATTCACTTGTTAAAATACAACATAAATATATGCATATTGATATTTAACCCTAACCCTAAATTTAAATGCTTAAAGACCTAGAAGGAAGTGTAGAAAATTATCCTACTTACCAGGATGCATAGAGCCTCCACTGTCATCTGTCCTAACAAATATAGGATACCAGAAAAACAAAATATTAATGTGGCCTCATGATGCAAAATGTCATCATTTTAAACTTGCATTATTACACACATACATACATACAGGACAGAGTTTGCATCACAATAGCACAATACACATTTCATCATTTGCCCCCCACATCCCCCCATAACTGTGGTACCATCCACAATTCTCTAAAGCTATGCATTTAGTCATTTACCAAACCTGATTCCTAATCAAATATTTTCTTAAAGATACAATTTATAAAGTCCAATTAAATTACAGGTCGGTATTATATTCTGAAAAAAGAATATAATACTAAATGCACATTTTAACAATCCAATGGAAAAAGCAAAAGCAAGCCCTTCCATGCTTACAATTATTCAACACAAGCTGTATTTTTGGCATTTCTCACCAGTCCTCCTTGTGATTAAACATGCTCCAAATTTCAGACATTCATCTTAATACCGTGCAATTACAATACATGTAGTACATAATAAGAATCAATGCATTCAAAATAAAATCTTAAATCCTAATTCTT